TGCCTGGATCACATCCTGCTTCGTACTGACATTCCTGTGAGTAGTTACCACCTTACTGTTGGTATCCTGCTCACCGTCCCTCACTTAGTTGCAACTTGTACTCTACTGGTAAATCATGTCGGCAGCTACCGCAATGCTTCGATGACCTGAACTTCCATTGCCAGGTCTGATTGCTTTCCGGATCTTCCGCTCCAACAAACAGTTTGGAAGGGCGTCTGTAGACCTCGGGTCAGGTGTGAATGTGAGTACCCTCGACAACAGATCATCAACTTTCATTTTGACGACGCCATTAGAAAATCATCGAAATTCTAGTGGAAAGTGCCGTATTATACGGGTACGTCAGTTTAAAGTATCTCTACATGCAGCCCGACTAAGGAATATCCAGCATCTGCATCACTCTTGCCCTGGGCACATACGTAGGCAACTCGAATGTTCAGTTCGCAGTGGTGGCGATAGTGAGTACCACCCATCTTAGGGCAATATGATGGATTGATCTGACTGGATCCCTCCCCTAACAGAACGGACCAGTCATCGTTAGTATTTTACTACAAGTGCTCCGAAGGCCTGCCTCTGATCCTTCTTTCAGGGCATAATCTTCTGTATGATCGTTGCCCGCGCGCATCGCTCGGTCAACAGCACATCTCAACAGGTGTCGACGACTAATTCAAGGAACCGCCATATCAGCCACGCCATGCGACCAATGGCAGTCAAGATCACAACACAGATCGAAGACTCCAGCGAACACTCCACTGACCCCAAAGGCGCTGACTTCGGAACCCCTCCTGGCTCGCCTAGGGTATATGACTATCAAACTAATCTCCAATCCTCCATAGGCTCAGTGCGTAAGGAGGAGGTGTAAATAAATAGACTCACGGGTTCAGGCTTTGTATCACTAGATGTACCTTGATATAGCCATACCCATTCAACTTCTCCCGTGACAACCTCGTTAAGCCTCCCTAACTACATACTGAGAAAGGGTAGACACTAACCTCAAAGCCCCCGCACGAGAAACCACCGTGACACTGTAAGTTGCGACGCTGTCAGAGTCGGGGTTGAGATTGACCAGACCAGAAGCGCCACAATGGCAGGCGAGTCAGTTCCGATTGCAGAGGGCTGGTGCCTGCACTTCGTCGCCTTTGCATGAGCTATGTCCGCGGATGCAAACCATAGTGGGGACACGTTGGAGAATGAACAACTGATGAGAGGTAATTTGGGGTGTAAGGCGTTGTAGCGCTTTGGCACTGCAACACCTTATACTTGCCAAAACTGTCCCAGATCTAGACGACGCCATTGTCCGCACGATGGGGATCATTGGGATTTCAGGTCCTGAGGAATCTAGCTACCGATTCAGATTGACAGACGAATCCGAAGACCGTGGATATTATTGTCGTCGAGCTTGAGCAGCCCAAAATATATCGCCGTGGCCCCACCCTGTCCGGGTATGTGCCCGAGAACAAAAAGATATCGCAGTCGAACTCACATCACTCCCGAAAATCTGCATTTCGATCTAGTTGACCATACACTTGGCCTACTCACGTCACTCGAAAGCGAGCATCGTGAGTGAACCATCCCAGATATCCGTCAGAGAAAAGATCTTGATTCAAAAGTCATGCCCGTTCCAATTGACCAGCCAATGTAGAAAGTCAGAGGACGATAAACCAAGATACAGCCACATACCGACGTCCGTAAAACAAAAGAACATGCAGGGGTGGGAATGAGCTCCTCTGCATTCCACCCGGCGGTGAGGACCTTCAATCTCCCACCGTGACCACGCCGGCGGTTGAAAAAGACGGTCCCGACAGTCAATATCACTGGTTTCCGACGTATACAGTAAGACAGTCTCACAGACGGACAACCCTTGGCAGTGTGTACTTTGTGGCGGGGCAGGTTGTGAGTCCTCTAAATTCGCCTTAGAAGCGGTGAAACAGATTTGGCTCAAGAGGATAAGCTTTACGCGCGAACCTGACAGGTACTCACCTGATGCACTAGTTAGATTGCAACTACTACTCCATCCCCTGCGTCGATGGTGCTCATATTTGAATAAAGACTCGAAACAATAACTTTGACGGAGCCATATACTCGATAAGCGACGTCGCGGAAAGGGTCCGATGCCAACATGAATTTCTCCGAGTCGTGATCAACATGTGGGATCCACCAAGCGTTATATATTGAGGACAAAATAAGTCGTACCGTTTAGTCCAATGGCAGCCTAGTTTACAAAGTCATGTAGCAAGAGCTTCGAATGTCGGAGGCAGGTTGGAAAGTTATAAATCTGCATTGGGTATGTCACGGTAACAGCCGGCGGGTCAAAATCTGAGTTCCGAACGTCCGAGTCGTACTTGCCATCACCATACTCCAAAATGCTTCCAGTCAACATTGAACTAGAACACTTGGATCTTGGCCGAGACCACCGGGGTAGACGTCGCAATCCTGATCCTAGGAATACGGAAGGCTCAATCACTACACATAGGCCTCTTATCTGCGACATCTCCCAGCTCCATCGATGGTGAAGCCAATCCTATATTCAATGGTTCCACGCTTCATATGGCTGAACTCAATCGGACGTGTTCAACGCTCCCGATGCCCTCGCACTTCTCCTCTCGCGCATGCGAGAACCCATTCCGTTCTGAACCTGAGGAGTTTTGTTCACTGGCAGATGCCTTAGGCCGCGATCCAGATTCTAACAATAACCACAAAGTTACCCAAGCAGCACCATTTCTCCTTCCAGCAAGATCTCACTCGACTTCTGTGATTCAGTTTAGAGGCAAAGACCAGTCGGTCGAAGTCCACTTTGAGAAGGTAGAAAGGCATGTATATGACGGTCCTGCGAGCGTCCGGCGGCAGATTTTATGCAATAGACTCGTGAGAACATAGTCCCAGCCATGAAACGGACGACACCAATCTTCGGGATGCCTGCCAAGTCTTAGCCTGTGTCGGTTTCAACCACGCGGCTTCCAGCCGCCCCGCCACGCTCAGTTTTCCAGGATTATATTCATGAATCCCACTGATCCCATCAGGCACGCCGATTGAAACGCCTCCCTCGCCACTTGCAGGACGTCGTTTAATGGTCCCGTTCCGTGCATCGGTCACAGGCCACTACTGTACGCATAACACACCTCGGGATATAAAAGGGCCAGCGTCATGAAGCTGTTTCTTCATCATCTCCGCTCCCCAGTGAATCCACCTTACCCACTTTCTTCTCGTGACGATCATGGGCCGCAGCTGCAACAACGAAACCACGCTCTTGATCGCTCACAAGGCACCTACCAAGCCTGCGCTCAAGTTTCCTCTGGGGCTAGTGTCTGAGAATGCTCGCCCATATCTCGAGTTAATTCGGCTCGAGAAGGTGCATATTCGACTGGTGTCTATCTGCACCTGTCATGTTGCTGAATTTCCACAGCCTACAGGGACCATCCTCATGTTCTGGCCCTTCGGTGAATACATAACCATCCTACGATATATGATCGTTGTTGACGCTCTTCATTAGCATGGGGTCTTACGATGGCCGCATACACCGTTGCTCTTCCTTTCGGACAATATGGGGTTAACCTTCTCAAGTGTTTTGTTGGCGCTTTCCTTCTGCGTAGCTCAGCGTGTACTGTCAACGATATCTTCGACCGAAAGATGGATGCCGGGGTGGGTAAGTACTTTATAAATCTACCCTCGACCTTCATACATGCTCAATACATTCTCCCAGAACGGACGAAAAACCGACCACTAGCGAGTGGCCGTGTTTCTGTTCTCGCAGCCACTATCTACCTCTTTGTTCAATACGCCCTTGGCGTTGTTTTCTTCTATGCGACGGTAGAGGGTCTTGCGTGCGTATTTGATCGATCAAATACACCACGCCTGCTGATCGGTACCTCTATAGCTTATGGGTTGCCTTATTCCAGCTGCTTCCATTGTAAGCCTTTGATGATCGACCAACAACATGAAAGTTTCTTTGCTTATGATCATTCTTTGTAGATTCGCGATCTACCCGCTCTTGAAACGCTGCACCCACTGGCCGCAGGCATGGCTCGGCTTCGCGATGAACTTTGGCTTCGTCACTGCCTGGGTTGCTCTTACCGGCGGGCTAGATATTCCTTTGCTCTCTGTGGCGATGGCCGGCTGTTGGTGGTGAGTTTGTTCAATATTCAGCGTCTAGACCCGTTCTGAAGTTTCCTTTCAGTTGGACTATGCTTTATGGTACGCTGATTGACCTCTTTATATTGAACTCTGCCTAACATATCTTTGTAGACACGATCTATGCTTGCCAAGACATCAAAGACGATGTAAAAATGGGTGTTCGATCCACCGCTATCCTCTTTGGATCGTGGATACGCCCTCTTCTTATTTTATGTGCCTTCGGTTTCGCCGCGATGCTCGGAGGTGCCGGGTATCTCAATGGTCAAGGCCTACCGTACTTCGCTATATCCGTAGGTGGAACTGCCGCCCATCTTGTGTGGCAGTTCATGACCGTCGACCTCGAGGTTCCCTCGAGTTGTTGGGGTGAGTTTTCATCATACTACTGGCAACGACATAACTGATGTCCTACCCTGCAGAAAACTTCAACCGCAATGGACAATTGGGATGGATTGTCTGGGGCGGTTTAATGGTCGATTACCTTCTCTCGATAGGGTTCTTCGAAGCTTAATTCTATCTTCGTCAGTCTGTTCGTTTCTTCATCGCACCTGACAATACTGCTCGCTGTTTATGCTCTATTTATTCTACTTATGGTCGTAGGACTAGCTCTTTGTTCATTCGTTCGCCTTCATTCCAACCTAGTACTACTTACCTAGAAGACTCTATAACGTAGGCTTTGCAGGCTTTGCCAGCCTGAAGACAATAGGCTGCACTCACTAGACTTTACCGTGTAATATAATTGTTGTTGTATCCACTTTAAGGAGAACCCTTGACGCTGTGACCATAAAGATAATAGAAGAAAGCCAGACCCCAGTAACCAGTTAGATCTTGAGATTCGGATCAAAGAGATCGTCGATGTTTGAAGGGCGAAAAAGTGGACACTGTGGGAATTGAACCCACGACCTCACGCAAGCAACGATTGAGCAATGATGCGAAGCGTGCGCGCTACCCCTGTGCCAAGAGCCCATGTTGTGAAAGCCGCCACAATAGAACTAGGAGTACTCCAAGCAGTATACCCGTACATGACACATTCGGTGCCAGCAACAGCATGTTTGACACATTCATGTCGATGGAAAACCCGTACCACGCCTCGAGACCTAAGTGCTTGGGGCGTACCGCGCCTTGAGGCTGCGCAAGGGCTGAAAAACATGCGTCACCTAAACCGAATAGGCCTGCGTCGGCTGTGAAATCTTACATTTGTCTGTCCCTCCAAAGCTCCGTTCACAAACCAACTTCCGAGACGGCGAGACCCATGGTATTCTCTGCTCCGATCCCTGGTCTGGATGTGATCGATACCATTGCTGAAGCTCTCCGCGACGATGCAGCTGCTTTGCGACGATCTCGACCTAATCACCTCTGACACTTCCCTTTCCCCGAGTCGGAAGCATCTATTTGTCGTCATCGCGCTCGACAGCACTTGACTCATCTGGGAGATGAAAAACCCCAAACATCTCCACATTATCCTGTAATACAAGCTCAATCTCCAATCTCGTACGTTCGAAACATTTAGGTCGACGGAGTCGCGGTCGATGTCAACAACCCGACCCTGTAGATCCCTACTGGAATCACCCTCTTTGGTGCGGCACTTTCCTTTCTTTCTTGGAGTCAGCATACGATACGGTTTCACCATCCATCTCGTCGCAAATACCACCAGAAGGTTGGGGCAGATGGAAACCGGCGTGGTGGTGGATCGATGAATTTCTCGACTCGCCGTGGACCCCAATTAGAATCTTGAAGACTGGAGTGATATATCTGCACGAGGTGTCGCTAATCATAAAGCTCCCTGCGCACGCTTTGTTTTGGGGCTTTCCTATCATATTATAGCTTCGAGTTACGTATGCCCACATCCTAGCAACATGATACAACCCAGATATATCCGGGGCTACGGGGTCCTCAAATGCAGGATATCACGCTTCTCATCGCCTTCGCAGAGCTTCAAGTTTTCAACGTGGTGAGCTATCCAAGACAAATTCAGAGCACAGATTTAGACCGCGAACTCGATGCAACGACACCAGCCTCCGCACTATCACCATACACGTTTTGGGGGATCATCTTACAGGATGCCTTGCAGCCATGTTTCTCTTGGTCGCGACCCAAGGTGACCTCGCAGGCAGTCTACATGAGGCTGGAGATGTGTTATAAGGGAACACGAATTCTAAATTCCTGCAACTGAGCTGCGGTACCTGACAGTCGCATATGAATAGATCATGTCCTCCATATCCGTTGCTATGGGTAGTTGTTTCGAGTCGGAAGGGCCACCCACGAGGCGCAAGATATGGTAACCGACTTCGTCATTTCAAAATGTGGCGCTCAGCGGGCTGTGAGATAGAACAGGATCCACGGTAATGAACCCACATTGCGTGGAAACCACCGAACGTTATTCAAATTCGATCGCCAGGTTCGCAGCACCGTCATAAGGGGTTTATAGAATCCTTGGGAATGGATACAACTTCACGTATAAAAAGATAGCACGATGAAACAGCAACTTCAGAGCAATCGATATCGAGGAAACATATATATAAGCCTGGACATATTCAGGGGCAGTCAATACTAATTTTTTGTTTTGGCAGAGACGACGAAATGACTCACGACAGCACCGAAGATAACGTCCTTGGAAGGCTAAAAAATTTCAAGCATTGAAGGTTGATACCCTCATGCGCGATCTTGGACAATAAGGATTACGGCATACGCCGCGAGCACGCCTACGCAGCCTTGACGTTATTTCGTTGATGAGAGGCGGGGCCTCAAACGCCCAGTGCGTTTCGGGTACTGGAGGCCGTGTGCAATTCAAGCCGCGAGAGGTTGTTATCGTCGTCATTGTTGTAACGCGGGCGTCGGGCATAGTTTCGCGTCGCGTTTCGTGGCCGTTCTCGGTTTCATGGTCGGTCTCGATCTGCAGGTCCGAGAATTCCGTAGCAAGATCTGTAACGTACGAGGACGCCCAGGATCCTGAGGAGCGGGATTGCTGGCTGCCCGATGCCTCGCCTGTTTGTGTGCCCGAGATGCTCGGAGACGCGGCTGGGGTGATGGGATTTGGTGGATATCGAGATCCCGAGCCATCGGTGCGGAAGGAGGAGCTGGGATCTCCTATTTTTAGGTGAAGGGCCCATTCGTCGGCATCTCTCGATACGGTCCTGGGCATGGCGGGGCAGGCTGCGCCACATGATCGCGACAGATCTGCAGGCCGAGAATAAAGGGTGAATCCACGGGACTTGTACTTTGTTACATAGTCCTGATTCCTTCCCACTCCTTCGACGTCAGCCGCCGGCTCAGCCTCAGGGTCGTATGCTTCTAGAGTGTCCTTCCCCCGATATTGGAGGATACCTTTGCGTTTGAACGTCAGCTTCGGGTATAGGACAACAATAGACTCGGGGGTAAGGTAGTTCATGACAAGCGTGGAGTGAAATTTCGTGATTGGGGAAAGAAATGACGGCTGTGACGACTCAATCACGTCAATGAAGGTGTTGTTTGTCGAGCAAAGTTTATAAACGCGGTAGATGTGGGAGTCAGTCGATCCATAGCGGTTTTTTGCCTTCCGTAAATTACGATCGGAGGCTGGGGCAGAGGCAAGATCCGTTAGCCAGTCGCAATCTCTGTCCGCGGGAACAGAGATGGTATGGGGGTGGGGTATGAAGCTTTTAGATCCATCGGAAACGATGCGATACGCTTCGTGGGCCATCAGCCAGTGGACGACAGCGTACCCCGTGCCAAATGGCGCATAGATGTCGAAGTCATACGGCTGCCAGTGGTTCTCGCGCAGAACGAAATGGAGCGCAGTCGACCCCGAGATCGCCGCACGGGTTTTTAGGAGAAGAGTGCGGAAGCCACTGACGTTGCACTTGGATATCCGCGAAGTCAGCAGTGCATCGAATGATTGACAGAGGTGGGCCGGGCGCTTGTCCATCAGCATTCTGTGAGTCTGTGAGAGGGCCATGACGTCCAGTATGGGAACGTGCCCCGCTATCGTATCAAACAACAGGATAAGGACATTGAGAGGCAGCGAGGAGGTCAAAGACATCTCCTCTGAGTATTTGACACTAGAGAGCTGGGTCCCCGGCTTTTTTGGTTTGTGGAAGAGCAAGTTATTGGGCAGATGGTAGCCCCGTTCAAAGTTGAGCCACGACTTTCGTGGTCGCGGTCGTGGCTCGTCACCTGACGACATTTTTGAGAGTCCGCCGGAGTCGTCCGTGTGACGACTTGTGACCGTCGCGCGCAAGTTTTCGACGCCCTCGTAAATCTGACATCCTGCTCGCGTTCCTTTGCTCAGCAGCACATTTAACCACCCTTAATCACTCTCCTTTTACTACTCACACTCTTTTACCTCTGTCTACACTCTTTTTAAGCTCATAATCATGTCGAAAACTACTATTCCTTCTATTGCCTGGCAAAGCAACAACGGAGAGCTCATCTGGGGTAGCCCCGTTCAAAGTTGAGCCACGACTTTCGTGGTCGCGGTCGTGGCTCGTCACCTGACGACATTTTTGAGAGTCCGCCGGAGTCGTCCGTGTGACGACTTGTGACCGTCGCGCGCAAGTTTTCGACGCCCTCGTAAATCTGACATCCTGCTCGCGTTCCTTTGCTCAGCAGCACATTTAACCACCCTTAATCACTCTCCTTTTACTACTCACACTCTTTTACCTCTGTCTACACTCTTTTTAAGCTCATAATCATGTCGAAAACTAGAGAGCTCATCTGGAACCTCATCACAGAGCTCGAGAAGCCCGAAAACTTCAAAGTTTTCTGTGGTAAAAAGGATAAGGATGAGGTAAGTGATCTTCACAAAATTTCTTCCGACTTTTTTACATGAAATTTCATAGAACACCAGCGGTGACTCAAAAGCCAAAGCTTCAAAGCGCATGGCTGAAGTCATTCTTCCGGACTACTTCAAAATTAATGGGCGTACTGTCGGGGATCGTGTGAAGGGCAAAATCGATGCGTAAGTCGCCTTTAATGATAATTGTGGACTCCTTATAAGGTGTTTTCTTTAAAGACTCATTACGGAGTATCGAAAGCATGCAAAACGCCTCACTAAGACTGGCGAAGGTATTGGTGGACCTGATAGCCAATCCGACGATACTCCGGCAAGCTTTTTTATTGAGGGTGGCGGCCCAAATGAAGAAACTCCTGCTCATGCGCTCAATATATGGGGTACGTCATTTTTTCTACCTTATTTTAATCGAAATATGGTTAAACTCGCATATAGACGAAATCGTGAGGGTCTGGCCATACTTCCCCCGGATGCATGCTCTCTTTGGCTCCCGCCCCAATGTCACTCCCATTGCAGTTACAACAGGTGTCGGTCCGAATGGTCTTCAGACCCAGTGGTTCCAGCGTCCTGATGACTTCATCGATCCTGTCCTGTTGAACACACCTGAGCGTCCTGTTGCTTCTGCTCCCACTCAACCACTCACGGCGACTCGATCTTTTGGCTCGGAGCATACCAATTACGAGCCAGGTACGCCTACACCCTCCCAGGTCTCACGTTCACAGGTATCTGGGTCTTTGCTCCCTCGTTATGCAAAGCCATCCAGTGCCTCTCGTGACGCAATCGAGCGGTTGAAGGCATCCAACTCGACAGTTCCGAAGAAGCGCAGCGCCATTGATCAACTATTGGAGCTCTCTAAGTACGTTTCATTCTCCTTTACGCAGATTTATTTTATGACATATCGTCTATAGAGAGAATATTCAGTTCATGCGCGATAGTTCGGAGCGCAAGCAGGTGTCGAGCGAGCGCTCTCAACTGTTCGAGGAATACAAGGCAGGATTGTGGACGGATGTTGAGTTTCGTGCGAAGGTTGATGAGCTGACTCGCTCCAAGTCACCTCCCGCTAAGCGTCGCCGCGAGTATTCTCCTGATTGGGATTTGGGGAGATTTGATGATGACGAGGGCGAACAGGATTAATTTCTTATGTCTTCATTTCTTACAGTCCTTTTAATACTGATCTCATAATCTTTATATACCCTCC